AGTGACTAAGATCTGGGTTTTAATAAAGCTTTAAATTATGGGGGTTGTCAGCCCATTCAGGGTGAGGAAGCTCATTCCTGGGCTGGTATCCTGTCCTGTTGCCTGGAATATCTGTATCTTATGAAAGCATGAAATTTCTCCCCATGGAGAAGCCTAAACACAACCTTATTTCATCCTTGCAATACCAGGACTTACAATGGTGCAAAATGCAAAGAGGCAGGCGAGCTGCGTGTGCACGCACCTCATCGTCGCTTCATGCAGATAGAGTATCTCATAAAAGACACAAGCAGTAAAATTTACCCATCACTCTTTGGGAAGTATTTACGCTGCTCCGAAGGAGTTACTATTTTTCAAATTTAAATCTCTCATTCTGTTTCATTTTTCTTTTCAAAATTCCCAAACCAAGGGAAGCTCTCTACAGATTAGTAGACCACCAAATCTTCAGTATTTCATGTTTGGAATATGAGAGGGAGAAAATCTCTCTGAAACCTAAATATTTCCCCCTCTAAAGACCAGACCCATTTTTGGGGAAAATATGCAAAAGTGTTCTCCTCAGGCTGAATGTTGTATGCAGTTTCAGCTTAATGCACAGCTTTATAGCAGATGTAGAAAATAATCAAAATGGGGGGATTTCTGGGAATACTGGCAGATCTTTACTGTGACTGCAGAGCAAATCCTGACACACTGTAATACTGTTTTTGTCTTAATCGTCAAAAGTAAGCTATAGAGAACAAAAATTCTTTGTTTGACAGAAAAGCAATTGCTATTTCTTGTAAAACATATAATATATTCCAGAAGACCTAAGGGTTTACTTTCCAATAAGGATAGAAAAAGATGTGCGCCCCACTGTGAGCTCACAGTAAGGCTGTTTCATGTAAAAAGTTGGTAATTAGTCCCCGAGTGAATAAAGTAGAAGAGATAAGAGACTGATACTTACTGTAGCAACACAAAACACTTTTTCTAGCTGCTAGGATTTAAAGGGTGTGTAGGTGGGAGGGGGGGACCTATTCCTACTCATTTAATTTACAAGTGTCTAAACCTTGGAAAATTATTTCTTGCATTAAGCTTAAACATGTGTACTTTAAATTGTTACTAACTGATGTAAAGATTGATAAGAGACATTCCAATTCTAAAAAGCAGACAGGAATGAAGAATTACAGGGAAGTGTAAAAGACTGTTGTGCTGTACATATCAGTAGCCAGTTTCATGCTCATGGTACACCACTGCCTTCAGCAGACTTAGACCAGCATTGCTCCATGTTTCACCAAGTTAATTCATTAACATTCAAAATTCAAAAAGATCTCACTTTCTTACATTCAAAGAAAGTACTTGGAAAATTAAATCACATACCTTTAGCCTGAGTTATGTAATAAATACCAAGGACAAAAACAAACTCAAACCACAGGAAAACCATCCACTGACAAAGCAAAATTATTATTAAATGACATTTCTATCATTATCACTAAATACTAAGTACCAGAAGTGAAAACTCTATAGCATTTCTTGTTCTACTTGGACAACTTGGAGCTACTGGAAATAACTTAATATTCACATGTTTTCCTTTGTTGTTATTCAACTTTATTAGAGTTAGAGTTTGTGATTGTCTCTCAAAAATAACTACACAATTTATATTGCAACTACATGTTTGGCAAATCTCCTTTTTACCAGCATACAAAATATCACAAAGCTTGAGACATGACAATGGAGCTTTACACGGGGCTCTCAGCACATATCCTTTGACCTCTCTCTCTGTTCAATTTGTCTCATTTTCTTTACTGCAGCATTTATTGTTAATGTACATGAGATGAGAGCACTTATCAAAAGTCATATCCAAAAATCTTGGTTATTTGACTCACTCGAAAATACGTAACTGGTCATTGGGTTCTCTCTACATCCCCACTATTATGATTGCAATCCCAGAGAGGTCTACACACAGATGAATTCTGCAATGATGTCCTAAACTGTCATCATTTGGACTATGAGTATCTGATTCAGTATAGAAACAGTCAGGAAAATTCTATGTATTTTCACACGGTTAACAAATAACATCTTGTTTACACGCACTGAGCCTCACCACAAATATCAAGAAATACGTAGAGGAAATACATTAAAAGTATTTCCTCAGGCTGAATGTGGCATAGAAGCTCTAGAACCCCTTTTTGTTTACTGTTAGAGGTAACTGCACTTGTTTCTACATCTGTCTTCAGTGCTTATGTTGCCACATATGAGTATTTAAAGAAGTGTCCACTGAGATGAGGGAAAAAAAAACAACACAGATGATCTTCCCCCATAGTTCTGCGACTTCCATGCAATTCAAGCCAGGCTACGTATCTGACAAGCCTATAGGAACAGCTGTACAACATACAAGTACACCTACTGCCAGCAGCCACCGATCGTTTACATGGGGGTGATATAAGTGAAATATTATGCCTTCTTTTGACTAGGAGTATGATATCAATATAGCTGAAGACAGAATGCATCTCTATAAAACATACATTAAATTCACCATTTTGCAGGAAAATACAGTAAATTTGTAATTTTCATATTTTGTTTCTTCTTCATCTTTGTAAATATTTATTTTTTGATGTTGCCAATAAAAATATATTCCATGCAGTAACATAGAGAGAGAGTAAAAATGAGAATGCACCTGGTTTTCCAAGAAGTCAGCACAATGTAATCTCAGAGTATGATTCAAAACAGACAGATAGCAACAGAAAGATGCACCTTGAATTTAAAGTTTCTAAAACTTCTTGATGCTTAAAGTTATTAAGAGGGGAAAAAAGTTTGAAATACTGATTCTGAAATCATCATACATCTAATCTTGATGTTTAACGTAGTTTAATCTCCAGCATGGTCCCTGTTTTCTGTAGGAATTTTTTATGTTCTACCAACTCATTCATGATTGCTTTTTGCATCTGAAAGCAACCTATTTAAAATAAAGGTTACTATTCTTTTCTTAACTTTCTGAAAATATGCTTAGAGCACTCAGTTTTTCAACCAGGTTACACTCACTACAAAGTATCTTGAGAGTTTTATGTAGGTACGTAAAAAAATCAACAGCTATATTTTGTCTGAGAAAATGTCCAGTGCAGTACATGAAAACATGATTATCCAAAGATCTCAGAGACACTGGCAAAAAGACTTTGGATAATTGAGTTTGAATAGCTAAGGGACCAGGGCACAGCAGCTTTGAAGTTTCCAGTTCTCCTTGCTCTGGATAACACAAAGCTCGGACAGCCTTTGTTGGACAGGCATCATAATTTAAGTATTGCTAGCAAGTTCCTTAAGCCAGCTAGCAAAATTTGGACGGGGGTCACATCCCCAGTTCCTGAGCAAGCAGTACAAATCATTCCCACAGTGAAACCGGGACAAGAAAGAGGCAAGCAGTAATGACCACAGCAGGAAAAGCTCACTCCAGTCCATACAAGAGTGACCCTGAAGTGCAGCCAGCACGCTCCAGAGGGACTTCTGCTCAAAACCTGTAACTCGGGCCCTGGAGGCTGTACATGCCACCCTGGGCTGCCATTGGGATCCTTGCCACCCTTCCCGTCCTCTTGTCCCGAAGAAAATGCTTGCCTCCTCCAACCATTTCCCTCATGTCCCAGCACAGAGTTCTGTGCAGGAACCAATATTTGCTCTATTTAAGGCACTTCTAGGAAGAGGTGCAGTGAGACCCAATTTACACAGCCTCCCAGGTTGCTGATGGCTTGGGGGACCAACTTGTGTTCCTGTTTTGCAGAGGAAAACACTCATTTCCCCTCCAGTCAAAGGCTGGCATTTACAGTGCCCAATTCCCCATCTCCTATGCTCCAAGAACATCTGTAGAAGAGCAGATTTGTCTTTATTTGAAGTGAAGTAGTAGCAGAGTTATGCTCAGTGTTGCCATGCTTTAGCATTACAAGAAGCTATGTTACAGTACTCTACTGATGGTATAAATGATCAAACATCAACCAAAACAAGTTCTCCCAGCAGGAGCACTTTGATCACTTCAGTCTTTCTGCATTATAGCAGCACTGTAGTTTGCAAGCTTCGAAATAACTTCAGCATTCTCTTGACCTGTCAGAAGACAATGCCATCTGAGTAATTTTTACACAGGGAAGTAAATAATGAGGAGTTAATATACTGGCATTTAACTCTGACCAGCATTTCTAGAGCTTGAACTTGCTGTATAGGAACAAAAGATAAACAAACAGAGGGAGAGTGAACAAACTATACCTCCCTTACATATGCAAATATGCCTGTTAAAAAAAAAACAAAAACAAAAAACCAAACAAAACCCAAAACATTAGTGTGTTGGAGTTTGGAAACCATATTCAGGTTAAAGGGCACCATTCTTATCTGGTATTCCACCCAAAGGACAATGATTTCATTTTATAAAGATCATTAGTCAGTGAAATATATATTTTAGAGAGTTTCTAGTAGGGAAGATTATTTTGGCAGTCACTGGAGTGTACCAGATGGTTCATTAACATAGGCTAGACAAGTCAAAGGCTTTCAGAATCATTTAGAAAATGTCAAACAGAAACAAGAACCCTGTCACTTTTTATTAGAATTAACTACATCATACCCTGGACACAGATTTCACCTTGGGTCAGATAAATTAATACAGAATTATATGAATTGTGTAACATACTAGGTTAAAGATAGGGCTTCCTCTTGGGACTCATTTGCTAGCAATATATTATGGTCTTCTACTTTAGGAATCCTCAACCTTTCTTTTTGTAAGCTATGAAAAGAGCTGACCTTGCTCAGACTCCATTGGTGTCTAATTGATTTGAGGTATATGCAGAATTTCAACAAGACACTCCGCTAAAGCTCTTTTGTGATCATTTTCCCAGGAAAGCTGGCAAAAGGGTTCACTGAATATTCAGCAGCTTGTAAAGTCTGCTTTTGTCAGGAGGAAAAAAAAATACATCTATTTAGTGAAACGCTGCCTTCGTAAACAAGAATTAAAATGCAACTGAGTTGTTTTTACTTTTTTTTTTTTTATTATCATTCAGATGTCAAAAATCTTGAGAACTTCCAGCTTGTGGAAGGTGTTCAGGAACAAGTGAATGCTGCTCTGCTGGACTACACAATGTGTAATTACCCACAGCAAACAGACAAATTTGGGCAGCTTCTCCTGCGACTACCAGAAATCCGGGCCATCAGTATGCAGGCTGAAGAATACCTCTACTACAAACACCTGAACGGGGATGTGCCGTGTAATAACCTTCTCATTGAAATGCTGCATGCAAAGAGAGCATAAATTATACTCATTAGAGCTTCTGCTTTCAAGGAAAAAAAAAATTCTGAACTGCTCCAAGCAACACTAATTAAAACATGGTTTTAAGACTTTGCAAAAATGGTATAATAATCAAATACTAATAGTAAATAAGTGATGTATCAGGGTATTTGTATTGCAAACTGTGAATCATATGCTACACATCCCCAAAGGAATCTGTATAGGACTTTATACTGGAGTGAAGTGAACGTACCAAGTGGATACTATCACCAATGTCAACATGAAAAAGGACAGAATGGTTCTTGTATATTTAACTCTGCTGATTGCCAATATGAAGAAACTTAGAAGAAAAAAAACCTGATCGGTATTATCGAGCTAAGATAGTGGGGAATTTGCACTAAATTCCTTCGCTGTATAGCAGGACTTCTAAAACAGTTATAATAGATGCAAAACTGCACCTAGAGCATTTTCTGTCATCCTTCCAAGGACCCAACACTTACTTCTGTGATAAATGATGTGGCATCCATTCAACAACCTGTAAGAGAGAGCTGGCGTAGCCACGTGCTACGTCGTGTCGCTACCAGATCCTACGAGGCTGGTTTTGACTCTCAGTCTCTCAGGCCTGCCAATCGCTGATCTGAAGAGCCTGTTACCCAGTTAGCTTGGCATTCTTACTATGTTCTGAAGTTTGTTTTGTCACGTGTCCATGCTGTTCTGTCAGGCAGTATCCCTCTTCCACTACTGTTCTCAGATAGCTATTAAATTGCAAAGATAAATATTCCAAAACAAAGTAGCCAATTCAACTATATACTGAACTAGAGCAGTGGCTAAAATATGGCTCTGCTATACATTCATGAGATATTTGAGCCATCACAAACAATAGCTTCTTTGACACACAAAAAGAAATATTTTCTAGAACATCAAATACTGATATTAAAATACTAAAAAAATAAAAATAAAATTTAAAAAAATGCATTTAGTGATGTAAGAACAGACAAATGAATGGTATGACCTGATGATGCCGTGAAATTATTAAGAATATTTAAAGAACTTTAAAATTGCAAGTAATTAAGAAACTAAATTTCAACTCGAACATCCAATATCTAATGAAACGTTTTAAAGTTAGGTAATACACATCTTTTACGCAAAGTAAGAAGAGTGATACTGCTATGTCTGTGTAGGCCAAAGTCTGCTGCAGAACAAATATTAGAGAAGAACAAACAATTCTCTCTCAGTCCAAATGAAGATATCAGTATTAACATGTAGTGCCACAGTTGTAAGTCTTGCCTTACTTCATTATCCTTAGAGGTAACTGTGCAGGTGTGGATCAACATATGTTTAAAATAAAGTATTAATCTCTAACATTAACAAAAACATAGTGTTTACATTCTTTAGGTCCTGTGGGGAAAAAACTGTGATAAAATTGCAGAACAGTGATTTCCTTATTATTTCTTTTAAATTGGTAATTATTTTACCAGTACTTAATTACTGTATGTCGTGAGACACTAAAATCAATAGGGGTATTTCATTTTGACTTTAATTTTTGAGATTATTGGCTGCACAATCACTTGTAGAAACTGTATAAAATCCTAATCCTTTAATTTTTTTCATGAAGATTGCTGGCTTTTGAATAGTTTATTTATATTGTATATGATAGTTTCCACTGTAGACAATTATTATGCTAATTTATTGTTTGGTTTCATCTTTATATAAGATATAGCCAGAATGAAGAAGCCAAATATATGTGTTTACTGTAGCATGTCTTCAAGTTAGTGGAACATAGTTCAGGGACACACAAGGGTCTTTACAAATTAAAATCATTCACTTGATTAAATGTCTGTAAATCTTCATAATCCTAAATGTAGTTTATTTAAATCTATTATAAATTATGTGAGTTATAGCTTTTTCTGTCTCATGTGAACTTGAAAAGGTGCATTTCTCTTATTTTTTTCCAACCATTCATACATTGTGTACCAAAGACATCAGTTATTACATCTACATCAGTACAAAGCACACTATTTTAATCACCTTTATTAATTAGCTCTAATATTCTGTCCATGCATAGGGTACAAACACAGCAAAGCCCAGTGTCTGCAACTCCTAGATGCCTGCCTTATACCACAGAGCACGCGTACTGTCGTACAGACCACAAGCAAACCGAGCACAGCTCCCTAGTCATCCCACACAGCAGACGTGCAAGCACTATTTAAATAACAGCATTCTCCCTCTAGCAAACTAAATTAACAGAAAGCAAGATGCGGGTGGCAATTGACAGTGCCTGTGAAGCAGGTATACCCACGTGTACAAGATAAGTGCGGTCATTCCCTCTTTCTTAAAAGAAAAACAAAACCTATTTCAAGCGTTTGCATTTTCTCTTTTTTTTCTTTCCTGTTGAAATGCTACGGTGAATCTCACTGAATATTAAAGAAAAAAGCTTAAGAATAATGTTGCTAACTGTATTCACAGCACCATTATCTATATAAAGGACAAAAGAATTAAAATAAGGTTGTAGAAGAACAGAAGAATTTTTCATACAGTTTAATGGAAACCATTTCAGATAAACTAACATGTATTTGCCCACATCTGCGGTTCCGAGAATCCCACCAGATTGCCCAGAGTACACAAACATAACAACAAGAACAAAAAGAATCACCAAAAAACCCCCCTCGTGTTAATTGTTAACTACTTTGTAACCAGACATTTACTTCTGACTGCCTTATTGATCACAGGGCATATTCGTAAAAGCAGACTAAAATTCAAAGGGTTTGGCTTTGGCTGGTTTATTATAGTTGTTCTGTGTTTGTAAACAGACAATCTGTAAAGTCTGACTATTTGTATTACAGATGTTCTGCAGCTGCCTTGGATTTAAATCCATGCAACTCTTAGAATGTGCAGTGAGTTACTTGTTGAAGTTGAAGTTCTCTTACTGTATCGGTGAAATACATATTGTCATGTCAGTTCTTGCCAGGAGTTTCTCATCACCAATGGAATTTTTTTTTTTTCAATATTTCAATAAATATTGATATGCCCGTGCTGATTACTTTATAATTGTCTTTATGATAACATCATTCTACTGAAATGAAGTGCCAGTCAAAAATCAGTTACTCGGAAGCGGAGAGTAAATTGCAAGAGAAATAAGAGCACCAAAGAGAATTTGATGCAGAGCAGAAGATGAAATGTGGAGAGCAGCACCTTCAAAAGTTCAGACAGCAATGGTGAAATTGCCTAAGCTGAAGCAAAATAAATACAGCTAAAGAGATCACAAAAGCTGAATCTCTAATCGCAAAGGAATTTGCCAGTTAGTACTTAGAAATGAATGCATTTCATCTCATACTGCACACTTAATTTTCACTTTACATGTTACCCGTAAAGAGTTAAGCAGCTGAAGCCTCAGAGGGGGAAAATGACAGAACAAAAGAAAATCAGGTAACAGGATCCAGCAGAGCTCAGGATAACCTCTCAGCAATGTAAATACGCGGCAGGGCCAGGGGCAAACCCACAGCTTCCAACACAACTGCCAGCAGAGGCTGCCAAGGAGGCAGATGTTACTGCTACTAGAGAAAAATATTTTCCTAAAGTTGCCCTCTGGCTCATCTGATTGCCGATTCGAGAGCAGGAGCTGAAGTGGTCCAAGAGAGCTTGTCAGCAGTACCCTACTGTTTTGAGACCACGTCCACTGCCTCCCCTGAACTGTCTGGTAGTTGAAAAGGGGCTGTTCTCCGAGGTGCCAAATGTTAATGCTTCAAGGGGAAAAAACAGGGCTATAATTAGTTATTTACAAATCCTGTGCTTGAACAAAACAAAGCTGGTTCAGTGTGCAATAAAAATAGAGTAAACCACATAGGATTAGGTGGCTTACAAGTGAGGAAGGATTATTTTAACTTTTAGGAATCATAACTGAAAACCATGAGTTTGCATAAGAGTCAGGGGAGATTTCAGGGTTGATATATTTTAGTTCGCTTTCCTTACGAGATACAGGTTATTGGGTGATATATTTAGTATATAAACTGCATGTTTAAATTACAAGGGAATTTATTTTTAACCGAGTTTGACACTGGTTCTGGAACAATCTGCTGTATGTTTTTATTGGAAATGTGG